AGGGAAACACAGCAATCAAAATGAAGTGAGTTATAGTCGCTGAAAGCTTAAAAACTCGGTTTTGCACGGGAACTGTTCGAACGGGGCAAATTTTTGAAAAAGGGGACAATCACTTAACTTTTTATAATCTTTTGTTAGAGAAATATTTGAAGTTTCTAAAACTTTTCACAAATTTCCAAGATGTCGCATACGAAAGATTTTATGAGCTCTCAAAGTTGGAGGTGCGCCTTCTCAGAATTTTGGGTTTTCCGCTTCTGACAGAAATACTTTTGGGAGAGTTAGGTCATCCTTGCAATTTTCTGTAAAGCCACCTCAGGCACAGTTTAAACCTACCTCAATAAGTGAAACAAATACGTCTCAAGAAAGTTACACTCTCCTAAAACTTTTTCTTCGCCGCGTCCCAGTTTTCCAGCGTCCGGGTGATACCTGCCGCGCTCCAAGGTTGACGCCGCAACGCAAACGCTTTCTGCGGCGGTTTCTGACGCAATCATGTCAGTCCTACTCTTCTTTAATCCTTCCTCTTTTTTCAGCTGTTTGAGCAGAAGTTCGTCAGTCTTCATGTTACTTGTTGGATATCCCTCCATTTGGTCTTACACATTTCGCTTTCATCCTCATTTTGGCGTGATTGTGAGCGAACAAAAATTTTGATCTCGCGAGGCTAACCATAAAAAAATAGCTTTCATTAGCCAGTGCCCTGTGATTCTTGCTCCTTTGGGGCTCATCTTAGGAGATGCATTGATGGAGAACGTAACTCTCTTTGATTTACTCCCTTGAACTGCTCTTGTGATTCTTTCGGAAGCATGAAGTTTGAAGTTTTGGGCAACATGAAAAAAATATTGAATTTTTTTCAGAAATTCAATGATTTTTTGAAAACAATTCAATTCAAATTTCAGTGAAGATCTCAATATTCAAATGTTCTGTTCATATTTCATGGAAGTTCATTGTCCATTTGAAAACAATGAACTTACGAACTTACGAACACAACATTTGAATATTGAATTCTTTACTGAACATTTGAATTGAATTTTTTTCAAAAAATCATTGAATTTTTGAAAAAAATTCAATGATTTTTTGAAAAGAATTCAATTCAAATGCCAGTGAAGAATTCAATATTCAAATGTTTTGTTCTATGTCATGGAAGTTCATTGTCTTTAAAAGGTTTTAGTTCACTGTCTTTGAAGTAAAATGAGTGAAATAAATATTTCACTTAACATTTAGTCAGCACATTCGGCACTTCCATTACCTAAGAGGGGGTCGCAACTGGACCCCCTTGAGATAAGGGGGTGACCCCCTTGAGAAAAGGGGGTCGCAAAAACCCTGAAAATGTTCGAACGTGACGGTTGACCCTGGTTGTGCAAAGGCTTCTGTCGTGTGGGCTAGGATAGACCTCCACGTAGTTAGCCACGCTATCCTGGAGCGGAACAAGGGGCCCCGAATCGCCTCCCATGTACTTCCCAGTCACTTGAATGCAAGCTTTTGGCTGTGCCGACATGCAGGATACCAACCGCACACACACAGAGCGCACCACACACGCAAGCATGCATGGATACACCTGTATGGAGACAGCTGGTATGAATCGACACAGCACTACAGAAACAGGGAGTCCATCCCCTGAATCCACCTGCGTCTCAGGGCAAGTACATGGTGGCTTTTGGTCCGCGATTTACCCCCTATCCGCCACCTGGGGTCGCGCCACGTAGCCTCGCCACCAACCGGCTCGAGATCTTTCAGTGAGAGAGGACCCTCAGTGAAAGAGATCCGTGGTCAGTGAAAGAGATCCGTGGATAGGTAAGAACAAGGTCGCAAAGTGTAGTTTAAACAATTTCTGCTTTTTTAAGCTTACAATCCATCACATTTCCTTTTTTCCACAAATGGCATAGAAAAAATAAGAAGGCTCTGACTGATGTTTTTCACAACAGGAAGTGCTAATTTAGCACTTTCTCTGTACGACGCAGCCCCGATCTATACAGGGGTGGCCAAAAAAAGAGACACTTTACTCTTAGCGCATATCAGCAATTCTACTCGCACACGTTGCCGTGGTTAATCGAAGCCTATAGAAAATATTCCCGAGTCCCTCCAGATGCAGGTGGAAGCTCGTGTTCGCTGCTCTCGTCGTCTTCAGAATACGACGTCATCCGAAAGCGCCATCGAGCTCAGGGGAGGGGGTATTCCGTACTTGCTCCACCCTGAAGCAGCTAAACAATTTCTTCAACCGGTTACTTTATGAATAGCTTTCTAGAGAAAGTAGCTCTGGCTGTGCAAAACCCCTTTCAGCCAGTTTCAGATAAGGTGTTATTGGTCCACGCTCCATGGAGGACCACGTTGAGCTCGAACCGTGTGCCGCATCCCATGGTAAATTTTTCTGACATCGTCGGTGCATTAGGCTATCATGATGTTCATTGACAGAGTGAAACAATCTCTTCAATTTCCAGTTAGGAGCACTCAGTTTGACTCTAGGGAGGTGTGGCTAATACCGCTTTGAACGTGGTGTGTAGGGTCTTTTTTGGCCACCCCTGTATATTGTTCTCCTTATTCAGTACTGTATTCACATAGGATAAAGTAAAGGAAAAATGTGGATCATCTTTAAAAAAACCGTGCTGCGTCATGTGCAGCACACTGTGACATAGAGGCAAATCAGTGTGTTGCACCATGTGCAGCATGCAGTACGCAATGGGCTAAAAGTTGCTCATAATCAGAACTAAGATAATGGTTGTGTAAATATGAAATTTCAAAAAATTGTTAAAGTTGAAGGTGGAGGGTAGGCATGTGTTCATGAAGCCATGGAACTAATGAAAGCTGAGCAGTCGCAGAAGTGATGAAAAATGTTTGAAGGAGTGCTTCAAGCGTATGCGAGCATAGAGGATGTTAAATTCGGAGCTTCGATGTGCATACCCGACGCAAGGACTGCAGTGTGCTATACACTGCGTTTCATAATTATAGGTCCACCCTAAATTTTTGCTACCCCAAAGTTGCTGTGCATTTTTTGGAAATGCTGCTATCACCATTAGATTCCTCATCACGGAAAACCTTCATAGTGTTTTTCTGACAAATTCCCCCCTCAAGTAACCCAATTAACTTTTTTAGAACGAATTTTCACCGTTTCATGAATATCGGGCCACTCATAAAAAGTTTCCATTTCTCACGATCCGTGAAGGGAATCAGGGAAGCGGGGAAATATGTGGGCTCAGTCGACATCGAGTTTACCATACCTCGTGTTATTCGCCTCTCTTCCCAGTAACAAGCTCAAGCTAGAGCACTTACTGAAGTGGGATAGCTGAGGAGCAGAATTTCCTCCCATGTCGGCCGGCTCATACTGCATAAGCGACTATGTGCAAAATCCTGGTCAGTGCGGAGAGAAGAGTCGCTTAGGTAAATAAAGACTGCGTTTCCTTCAAAATTTAGGAGGAATTGGGTGTCTTCTCTCGAATTATACAAGGAGTCCGAACAAAGTCCGTACTGAAATGCGGCCTTCCGTGAGCAAAACCACCGTGTGGTGAGTAAGCCAGCAGAGCAATAACATCTTCAACGGATTGATGAAGAGCGTTCCAAGATTATTGGTTTCAATGTAACGTAATTTCGGCGGTGAATCCCTTATGGTTTGAGGCACCTTTGAACGACTGAGTAGCTAGAGCTCGCTTTTGTTTCCGTTCACAAAGATTCCACAGGGTATCGTGAAGTTCTTTCGAAGCGAGTCTTACCATTTTTTCAACAAGGATCCCCTCTATCCTTGATTTTCACACACGATAACGCGGCTGTCCATGCCGGTCCCTCCGCGCCAGATGGAATTGCAGGAAAAAATGTGGCAGTTATCTGGTGGCCACCATGTTATCTGAATTAGATTCCAATAGAGAATCATTGGGCCTTAATTGTTATAAAGTTCCACAGCAAAGTAAAGCAAAATGGAACAGCCGAAAAGCTGAAAAGGTCGATCATCGGCGCCCAGACGAATTTCGATCCTACTGTAATAGCTAATTTGGCTACCAGCATTTCAAAACGTATTATTGTGTTCCTTATGATTATTGGGGGGTCATCCCATTATTGAAAATTCGTGACGTTTTTTCGTTATAGTAAAATCTCTCGACAAGTGATGTGTAGTCATATTTGCGAAACGGTGAAAATACGTTCTAAGGAAGATATTTTAATAATTCTGAATCGAGATTTCTCCAGAAATCAAGTATCAAGGTTTTTCGTTATGGGGAAACTATTGGTAATAGCGGCATTTTCCAAAAATGCACAGCAACTTTGGAATAGCAAAAAATTAGGGTGGACCTATATTTATGAAACGCAGTGTATTGCGGCTTGGGGTGATCAGAGGCGCGGCATAGGTGCGTGCGAAAAAAGTTGCCGTTTCACTGGTTGTATATACCCCCCCCCCCCCCGCTCGACGGCTATTTTTGGGGAAAAAGTGGGTGGAGTTTCGGAGTTTAGGTAGGTTTTGGGCTGTGTCAACTGGTCTCAGAATCAAATACTATAGAAGAGGGAGAGGTCGCGGTGGGGGAAGGCTGGTTGTATTGGGGGGTCGCAACTGTGTGTTGGGAGGGGTCGCAACTGGACCCTCTCGAGAGGGGGGGTCGCAAAAATCCCGAAAATGTTCGAACGTGACGGTTGACCCTGTCTACAGGAGTGTCCGTGGCGCCAGTGTGCTGCATGCGCTCGAGGCTTGGCTCATTTCCATGTAAGACGTAAGCGTCCACGTCTTGTGTCGTTGGTTAATAGGAAACACACTCCTTTTGAATGCCAAAGATCACTATCCTTCACACCAATTTGCCCCTGCAGGTCTTCTTGAAACGCTGTCCGCATTTGAATGCCCCCACGATTTTCAAACAAAATGAAATACGCGGCCCATCCAAAGAAAGCGGGGATCTGCTTGTTTATGCAACTCGACACAAACGACCTTGGTGCAGGTCGCTTCTATTGTAATCGCGCTACCTCCGCATTTTCAGGATACACATTTAATTGAACATTTTCAGTGTTCCAGTTTTTGAGTGAAACCGCTTACCGAATGGACTCCTATAATGAACCAAGTCGAATGATGCTAACAACGTCGCTATCCACCATACAACAACTAGCAATCCAAGTGTTGTCATAAATATCAACTGAAACAATACCCTTACAATCGAAAACATTAAAATAGATAGGACCATGAATAAAAGTGAAGCTTTTTAATGAATGGAATTAGACCAATGAATTAGTTTTGGCTCTTGCGAGCTAAATCAATTGTAACAGCTGTGAGGTTACACCTAAATTTGAGGGCCGCAGCGTGCATTTTCACATTCGCGCAAGAATATAATTGCTGAACACAATCGAATGCCGAATTTCTTAACATCCTTTGCAAACCTCTCAGAATTTAGTCTGCACTCTTAGAAAATGCAGCAAATGCGATTTTTCTTTAAAAGAAAGATCGCATTAAAGAGAGAGCTTAAAGATGAAGCACAGCGCGTAAATAAAAGGGTTCGTCGGGTTTCCCTTCGAAAATTCCAATAAGGCAACTAGAGCTCTGGAGATGGCTAATTAGGAGAAAAATAGTGACCCAGCAACTGATTGCAAACGTCGTCAGTAGCCGTAGACAAGCCCCGCCATGATTCTGAAAGAGACCTTTCACCTCCACTTTGTCAGAAAATTATGAGTAAGGTGATAGATTTCACACAAAATGAATGAAGATTCTTCGAGGAAAGGGCTAACATCTAGCAAACCTAGTGTCTAGAAGCTCCCGTTCTGGGCGTAGGAGTTGACCAATATGTAGAACACCAACTACGGAAATGCAGTTGAGATTTGTAACCAAGCAGCAAAAGTGATAGGCAATCTTCCCCCGATGTAGGTTTTGTTTCTTGTTTGGTAGAGTGCTTCGCTGTGAGTCTTAAATGACGGTAGACGTACACTTCTTCTCCTAGGGCAGGCCACCGAAATATCTAATGCATGGATCACACTCCACCCTGTTTATGTCGCCCCTCTATCTAATTGTCTCCTTCTTCTTTGACCTCTAACCGCCTCTTTCCCGCTCTCTAGGGCTTCTTGGAATGGGATTACCAAATGCTTGAGAACGCTGTCCACTTCAAGACATGTTCCGCCTATTGTGGGCGGACCGCCGCTCACTTCATGCAGTGGGAACGCCTTAGACATTGCTTATCTAAAACAATTTTTTTCTCTGTAAGGCTTCCTCGTAACCGAGTTATGAATTTCTTCACTGGGCACCGCTCTTTTCAGAGAGCACTCCGCCCACCGTGGGTGAGGGTCTGTTCTGACTTATCAAAGTCACCTTTACGCATTTTTTCTCCGGTTGTGCGCTATTTTAAATCGGACATTCAATTGGCAAGTACTAAAGCAAGGCGAAGCACAAAGCTACAGTGGTTCTCTCCTGCATATTAATTGGCACTTTGCTTCCATTCGACTGGAATGAATTCAGGATCCAAAAAAAAGAAAAAAAGAAAGGAACATGACCCATTCAGTCGGTATGCTATACGAAGTTATTACGTTTATGGTCTGTAGAAGCGAAGTTCGTTGAGGACGATAGACTTAAAAATCTCCCGTTTTGACGGTTTCCTCCTTTATGTAGGTTTTTTGCCGCCTTGATTCTCAGATTTCTAGGCATCATGTTGTATCCAACGAATTCGTGCTCTCGGAAGGAAAACGCTACATTATTCTGTTCCAATCTAATAGGATGCGTGCTACCTCTCAGTTCCTAGTTGTTGAATTCGCAACAACACAAAGGATTTTGAATCCTAAATCGAAAATTAAATGTGTCTGTTCCCTTCTCGAAGTTCTTTCGAAGTTGCCATGGACAAGTCTAGTAATCTGTTTACTTGAGCTTTTCGGAGCGGTAATATTTTACAAGCCGACGTGTTGGCTTCCGCGATTCCGTTGGTGCTTCAAAAAGTGCAAGAAGACAAATGGTATCCATCAACCCTCGCGAATTACCCGAATGCATTGCAAATTCTCTATGAAATAGTGCTGGTCATAGTCGGAAAAGGCCTCACTTAGTTACACCTGATCACCCACTAAGTTTGTGATTGTTTTGGAGTACATCGTGATTGATCGTGCTTAGCCACGGATACCAAAGATAGCAGCGTCAAGCGAAGGCATAAGCTCTCCGTGTCGCGCGGTTTCATTTGCGTCAGTACCATCACCCCTGTGATTAGGGATCCCTTCACTCGACTAGATGGCTCCTTCAAAGAATAGGCCGTGATCCGTGCCTTGACAGCTTAGTGAAGGCTCATGGCCAGTACAAGAACTTTTACAGAATACCTGTTCTAACAATAAGTAAGTATATAGCTGGTCGCCTAAAACCAAGACAATTACGTCGGTAACGGAAAGCACAAACACCATCGCCTTTGTAGGTAGGTCAACACATTTCTACTCATTCAAGAATCGCTCAATCTAATTCAAGGATTTTGCACTCTGAAGTGGAGCTAGTTTCGCCGTACTGCCAATAAAGTGGAGTGGGCAGGAAATGCTAAAGGCTTCCACACTGCGCACAGCTTTGTTTTACGCACTCGTTCAACACTTGCTGTTAGAGTAGTTCTTGGCTGTTCTTTTTTTTTGATCTAGCTAATCCTTTTTTTGACGTAATCTAATTCTAATCAAGACTAAAATTTGCCACAAAAATTATGTAGCGATAAGTAGCCACTGATTAGTGAAACCGAGATAAATGAACGTTCTGCGAAGATTTTGCTATTGTCAAGAGTAACAAATTTGGGCTTTCACAGCAGAGGTAGAGAAGCTGAAGGGTTCCGATGTTATTTCATAGATACGCAGGTGACGCCGCAATTTATCATCACTGCCCGGACGCCACAGGGCCGACGTACACCAGAAGAAAGATTACGATTCGAGCAATTTCTTCTCAAATGAATTGGAATATGTGCAGAAATATGGAATATATTTACAGTAAACACTGCAAGCTTTAAAAACTTTGCGCAGGAGAACCGCATGCCTTCGCCTTTACTAGTAATGATACTAGTAATGATACGTCATGTGGATGAAAACATTGGCGTTTATTCTGATAAAAATCCCAAAAGTTAAGGAAATTTTAATTAAACTGAAATGTTGCCGTAAATTTGTCACAATTATTGGCGGTGAAATTGCACGCCTGAAAATATGAACGTGAACGAGCTCCCATTTTGATTTACAAAAAGTCTTCAAAAGAATCTTCTCGGAAAAATCATGATTCTATCTCACCCATAAATCACTGGCTTGAGACCCATCGTTCACGATAAGAACGAAAAGAACAAAAAAATTGCATTTGTTTTGGTAAAAAAAATTCGAAAAACCGAAAGGGCTGCTACGCGTTCAAAGTACCGCCGGACATCTGTCACAAATGCTGGCGACGGGAATGCTTCCACTTGGTTCTTGGAGTGCCGTCACTAGAAACTCTTTCTGGCCTTTGACTTATTGCATTCACATCTCACACTTCTACTGCATCCTATTCTATCGATCGATTTGTCTCTACTCTCCAAAATCGCACGCTTTAACCCGATTCTTTCATTGCGTCGCCTGATACGTAGCCGCCCCAAGGCGGACTTCTTTCCATGCCCCGCCTTTGGCTCCGCGCCACTTACCTTCGATTGTCCATAGTGTGGTTTTTGTAAGTTTGTTTCTTCGGAAACTGAATCTTTGTGCGTGAAACTTTGTATGTTGTCTCTAGTGATCACAGCTGACATATGCGTGTTTCAGAGAAGGATTCCTTTAAGGTGGTCAGAACCACCACAAACTTCGTCCTCGGAGTCCTAACGACTTTTTTTTCACTGAGAGAAGGACGATACTAATTCTAGGAGCGGTTTCTAGGAAATTCAGCTTTTTTTCGAAGCATTGCACAATGTCGTTCTACAGTCGCACACCTCAAACGTGCGATAGGAAAGAACGAAAATTCTCTTTGCACGATGCCTTTACGGAAGCAACATGTGCTATTCCGTAGAAGCGGGCTACGAAAGAACCTAAGGATTTTTGGGAGACAGACAACCAAGCACAGTAAATACTTTGGTCAGCTGGTTAAATATTGCTGAGCAACTTTCCTCAAGAGCAAAGGGAGAAAAACTGTCAGGAAACACTGGATCCGCACCTTTTCGACACACTACATTATTTGAGAGCGCATTAAAACACAAGTTAGAAGAGCCGCATAGATAAATCGAAACTGTTGTTTCCAAGGAATAGGAGTCGGGTTTCATTTTCGTCTCATCTTACGGTGTTCTGCGTCAATAAATTGGGAATCCCTACCCCATGCTTCTGCCGTTCCAAACTGACTGTCTCACCTAACCCACGTCTAAACGCACCCCAAATCATTCATGACGAATCGATAAGAGTCAACCCTGCGTTGCGCAGTTCTCAACGGCCACGTTGCGCAGTTTCGCCCGATTAGACACGTTCTCTCGCGCGAACATTCACACTCGCATGCTCGAGCCGTCTGTGTCTCCGCCCATACAGCGTGCGTTGAGGATCTCTCAACGTGCCGTTGCGAACTGCGCAACGCAGGGTTGACTCTGCTGGGGAAGCGCTATTAATTAGTCCAGACCGACATAAAGCTCAACATGTATGTGGAGAAATTCTCTGCGTGGGAAGCCAATGTCCGTGGCTTTGGTCTGGGCATGTTACCATGAGCTTATTCTGAATAAAATCTTTGCTGTTTCCAAAGTCAATTCTCGTTTTCTCATTATTCGTACCATTAGAGTATTGGAGATTGGAGTCAAATTCCAAATCTATCGATTCGCTTTCAGCTCACATTTACAACAAAATAGGTTTTTCATCCACTTTCGATTGTTTGTGTGGCAGTTAATAAAAAATTAAGCAGGCGCTGGAACCACCGATAGGAAAGTACGAAAAATGTGCAAAACTCATAGGAAGAGCAGTTCTTTGAGGATAAAAATCCTGGCGAGCAACCTGCGTGCGCTAGGAACTGTTTCGACAACCCTCCAGGAAAACCAGCGCATTCACATTACCGTGTGAAATCGCTGTTACAGTGAAGGTTATAAGCTTGAAGCATGACGAAGTTTTTATAGGTGTGCTCAAAAAATGCGCTCTGTCTCAAAAAAGTTGCCAATTTGTGAAGTAGAATACTGAATTTTCTACAAGACGCCCTTACGATCTATGGCATTTTCAGCATTCACATCCAAAAAATCAGAGGGTACATGTAGCTCAATAAAATCATATGAAACTCACCTGTAACGTTAGAAAAGGCACAAGAAGGCAAGGATTCCGTTTGATAATACCCACAAAATACAACAACGTAATGCACCCGTGAATGAAAAATACACCTAAAATTCAAATGTAGTTCAATTACAGTATGGTATTTCCATAAATCAGAAACTTACATGTAAATATTGCTCCGCTTAGATTTCCTCCTCTCGAGTAGGAATACTCATAAATTGCTAATGCAAATTCACATAAGCAAATCGTAAGCGACAACGCTGAGCAAACAAGCTGAATAACTTGCTATTATGTCGAATATTGATTTATTACAAATTTTTAGAATTGTTCTACATATGCCTGAGTTTCATACCGATCTAAATGTATAACAACAATGCGAGACTCCAGTTCATTAACACGTTGACGACAACGCGCGTTTTGGATTTTGGCCGCGTGGGACCGGCGCGATTTTGCGGGCGCGGCCGCCTCAGGTCATTCAAGCGATTTCGGTGGTAAATACATAAAAAATGACTGATACAAAATTAGATCAGTAACTTTCAGCAGGTAGAATTTACACAGGGGTACAGTCGTGGGAATTCACTCAAAAGATGGGAAATAATAACAAAAAAGCAAAATTTGCCGGACTTAGTTGCAGTGGACTTCAAAAGCAATTATGTTTAGATCGTTTGAATCAAACACATACGTCCCGCGCTGTCCGTCATGGCCTGCAAAGTGCGGGACCTATATGTCCTGCGCTGTCGTCAACGTGTTAAGAAGACTCAAAAAACTTTAACAAAAGAGTTGCAAAGCATTATTCCATCATTGCAAGGTTTTTCAAAAAATTATGGGCCTTTTACGCATGTTTCCAGCGCCTAGCGCCTTTTTATATTATAATATAATTTTTATACGTCTGAATTTCAGAGCTATGAAAAGGCCAGGTGATATGTGTTCCTTTCCGAAAAAGGAAACTTGAAGAAAAGTTCAAGTGTTGACATCGAGCGACTTGGTCACGCCCATACTGAACCATCTCTTACTGCGGGTGAGTACGTGCTCTCTCAGTACCTGACTGAAGTACTATTCCTCTGAACAGATTAGCGTGGAAGAATAAACGTAACTTTACGATGAACCATGAAGGTAAAAGGTTTATTCATTAAAAACGAGCAACTTTGGTGCTATCGGGGTAGAGTGGTCTTGAGTGCCGGCTCATCAGCAAAAAATTCTCGGACGTCAGCAACCAGAAGAAATAGGAGGCGGTACCAGAGCCAGGCGCGAAGTGAACGCGCCATACGACTCAGTTTTATGTTGTAAAGAATATATAAGACAGCGAGACTAGAACAGCAAAAATCGGATTGATGATTAGAGTAGAAAAAGATTAGTAAAGTGCAGAATCCATGCTAAATCATGGACGATCTCCATTTGGTTGTCCACAACAACACACATAGTAGTCGAATCTAGCTATGTTTTTTTTTTGTGATTAATTATATTTATAGGATTTGCTTATAAATGTGGAGAATTAATAGCTGAACGGTATTTTTTGGAGTCAGAGTTTTTTGTTTATTCGTTTATTTTTTCATGCTGTTTTGGATTTTTGAGTTAAATCGATTTTGTGATTATAATTTTTTTTTTATGGTGTGATTTATGTCATGTGTTTTCATATTCTTATTGTCTATTCGACGTTTAATGAGTTGTCATTGTTTTATTGTTTTGGTTTATTGAGCTTTTCTTTTTTTTTTAGTTTGACTCACGAAGAGGTGCGCAAATTATACTAAATCAATAACAACGTATCACTTAGATCGGACCAAAAGATGGTCCATTGATATGCTGCACACAAACAACCTTTGTTTGGCTCCGAAAACAATTTCGCAGATGCTATAACCTATAATGGATGGAGTCAAGGTCATGCGACTTGCTGCTATGGAATAACTTACGCTGCGCTCTAGTTTTGTCATGCATCTGCAACCGAGGGTGGGCGTATAAAAATTACGCCCCCCGCTGAGCTAACTTAGAGACGGCGGATTGCGATCAGCCTGAGTATTCTCTGCGTGCGTTCCTCTAGCAAACACTTTGTGGAAAAGATCGCGCTTTTGTAATTCATCAATGCATGTCTTTGAACGTCGCGATATGGTAGATGTAATGATCCAGAAACATAGCATTCAATGCACGAATGCAGCTAAACCTGAACTGCATAGATTCCCGTAGGCCATTACCAAACATCCCCTGCACAGTTGTTTTTTTTACATTTATCACGTTGCCTTTTTTTACAATGTTCACGAAAGGAACAGTTGAAGTGCTCGGCTGTAACTTGCTGGACAGTTGCCCGACACGTGAAAGCCGAGGTAGCAGAGGGAAAGGACATCGCTGATGTCTAGAGAGTGATTGTCCTTTCATGATAGAGTTTTATGTTTGTATAAAGCAGAGTATTATGATATGTAGCAAGCAAGCGACTATGTGCCTCTCTCGTAATTGCACCGAACAACTCGGTATACCAGACAGTGTTTCCCCTGGTTGAATATTGTAAATGTCGTGCTAAAGTAGGGCTGCGACTGAGCTTGACGGGAAGAGTTCAGTAAAATGGGGACGCATGGCGGTAAAGGTGCCTCCTGTGACGGCGTGGGCACGCGCTAGAAGCCCACTGAATCGCCTGTAAAATACAATCCTGGACAACGGAGCTCCGACAAGCCGAGCACAAAGTGCTTTAGAAGGATGGTGAAGTTTCCACCGAGGATCAAGAAAGATCAAATCAAACCCATCAAGAAGAACCGTTGAAAACCGTTGAGAATAGGGCTTCGACCGAAGAGATATCGGCGTAGGAGTAGTGCGCCGCATCCAGAAGTACCGGCCCTTGCAACGATGTCGGTCGATGTTACTTATATGTATGTAAGTAAATTGACAGGTGGTGTGCAGCACAAAAACGTTCAACTATCTGCCATCTTCGTCTCCTAAATAATTGCAATAATTTCTCGTTTAGTTATCACTTGCATAGCCTCTAAAGGCGTTTGGTAAGGATAATTTTAAACAAGTTTGCATTTTATTTATAGCGTGCGATGTACTTCTAATCAACTACAAACCTTCTGGGCGATAACGATCATTAATGTGATGTGCATCGAGTGTTAGGGGCAATGACCATGCTTAAAGCAACAGTCCCAGCAGGGTTTTTACCTTCGACACTAATGGTGTGGAACGATGCGCTAGCCCTAGTCAAGAACATAAGAAGTGTGACTGAACAAAAAACTCACCTTGGAAAGCCGCTAGAAAGGGAGCTGAACAGCTTCGAAGTGGGCGTGGTGGCCAATCGGCTGCAATCCCCTCGGCCACTGCCACACTAGTGGGGCAGAGCAAGCTCTTCTGTGAGAAGGTAGGACTCTGCAACCGCTGTTTTTTCTGATATCGACTCACAATTTTTTCATTTCTTCCTGGAATTAGTCAATTGAAAATCAATAGAAAAAATATTAATTAGTTAATGTTTCGAAATCTCCTATTCACTTTTGTTTTTCATCCTTTTAACATTGGCACCTCACAATAAAAAGAACAATAGGGTTGTCTCATTAAGCAAGTCTACCCACAGCGTTTGTTTCCGCTCTGAACGAAAGATGGTTATGTGCCTTAATTCCTTTCATCTCTCCTCTCTTGTCTCCTCTCACCTGATCTCTGATCTGAGCCTCCAGTCTATATCTTGAACTCGTGCTGATTCGAAGCTGTAGATGGCTTATTATCTGACTCTAAATCTTTGTTCCACTTGTGGACTGCCCAGTTCCCACTATTTCACAGCTGTGATAATCGCCTTTTGGTTCTTCCTGTAGATTCCCTTCAAAGACCGGTCGCACACACTCCATCTCACCCACTTTCCTCCCTCTCTCGGAACGACCGCCGTTGAGAAAAAAGTGGACGGCTCGAGAAGGAGTAAATATATGGTTAAGGAACGGCGAATCCTTCAATTTCATTTAATTCACGCTCATGCGTCAAGTTCCGCCAAATTTGTTGAAAAAAAGGTTTTTTCTGCAGCCCTTCAACATTCACAAGACTGAATCAGAGTCAATGCAGGTGTCAGAAACTTGTGAATGCGACCTCCCCCCACCCCCCAAATAGAAAGGTTGCCAAATTACTCAAACTCTTACTCTTCGTCCACGATGATCTAAGAAGAAACAGAGATGCGCCCTTGCAAACAACTGGCTGATGTTAGACGCAAGCCTTGACTTTGGGGAAGAACACCCACTGAAACTGACATCCATTATCTGAAATGTGGACTTGATGAGAATGAGTCCGTTGAGGGAGGGGGGGTAATTAATCGCCGGAAGGTTCTGGAGAAGCCCGAGCTTCTCTTCAGCCATGGCCATGACTATTGTTCACAGTCCGTTGGTCGAACCGTTAATTTAGAAAAAATTAATGTACGTAAACCAGAAGACCTTATCTATCTAGAGTTTATCAAAGTGATTTTATACGTTCTCTGCGTCAGAATGGCCCACTTGAGAATTTTTGCCCGAGTACAGCTAAGCGATGCTTCTTCATTGAGCTGTCACTCTTTCGACAATTATGGCTCCTTTCATGGACAACTGCGTACAGATATCAGGACGGCTCTAGATCATAGGAATTCTGCTTTTCATAGTAACAAGGGAAGGATTTTAGGTCGAAGTGGCCGTTAAAAAGCAGATGTATACCATCTGATGCATCTGCGGACGCTGATTCCAAACCTGCTAAACGGCGTTGTGAATAAAATTACAAAGGGTTTTTCCCTGCATGGCCTAGCGTTAAAGAGGTGTATCTGCGGGACCGACGTTAGGGCATCGGGTCCGCTCGCTCAGTTTTCTTTGCTTTTTCCTTAGAACGTTAATAAGGGTAGATTGTCGTTTTTCGACGAACTTTCCCTTGAATATTCTGACTTTGGCACTGCGGCACTCTAGCGTACGCAACGCACGAACGAGGCGTTTTCTCGCTGAGAGAGTGTGACCGTCGTCTTCAGGAAGTCAAACTACCCTTTGTGACAAATTTCTAGCCAAATCGAAAATTTGACTCCTACATCGAAAAAAAGGTGGGCAACCATGGGTAGTATAGCCGTTAGTAGCTGGTGCCTTCTACATCACCCACGAATACAACTTTTGTTGGCAGATGATTCTGATCGTTGAAACTCCCTGTATAAGAACAGTAAAAGGCCTCATCATGAAAACAACCCTTATTTTTCAGCGCGGCGTCGCCTGGACCTCTTCCTGGTACTGACCGCCGCCCTAGGCTACCGCGTCCTGCCTTTTCTTTTTGAAGTAAAGGAGAAATACCCTATTCCCCTAGCAATGTGTTTCCAGATGTAATTAGAGCCCCTGAACACGAATATCCCACTAGTTTGACGCGAAAACGCCTTGTGAGCGCATTATGGAGCTATTGCTTGTGTCCTCTTAGGGGCCACTCACTCATGCAATGGTTTCTCTGGCGTGAGAAGGGGTTTTCATGCCAAATGGTTATGAGACTCTTCCCCAACATACCATTCTTGTCCTGTTTACAGATTATCAGCAAATTTAGAGGTTCTACTTATTTCGTGTGTAGAAGAAAAGAGGACCAGAAGAATCCACGAAAGAGTTATCTGAAACGGTCCATTTTCTTTGCGAACGGCACTTTTTGCCACGATAAGGTTTCGTAAACATGCGAAAAGGGGTTTGCAAACGCATTGAGTATACTTTTGAAAAAATGCAGAAAATCGTTCACACTCCTGTAATTGTGATATGAATTTGAAGAGGTTTTGGCGTCATGTCCACTCGGCCACCGGTCTAAATCAGCTGTGCATGCATGTCTTATTCCTGCTGAACTTGTGTCTGTTCCGTATCACAACAAGCTGTGTAGTTTTGTTTAGAGAATCGCTCAGCAGAGATTTAGTAGAACGTAGATTTGAGGTCCGCGTTCAGATTTCTTAGGTGATATGCATCTCATTTCAAATGGCTACTTTGACCTACCATCTTTCCCTGTAAGTGTAGAAGTGTACTGCAAGCTTCCAACCTAAATGGGAGCATCTTTATGGAGTAGCGCTGTAGTTACATCTCGTTTTAGTGAAGGATCCCTTCCTGCCGTTCTAACAGTTCCTTTCGGGAACTACTATATGTCTTTGAAACTCACATCTGCTATGCAGGGAAAGGTAATCGAAAGCCAGGGCATTGTTCAAGCCCCCTCAAGGATGTGCCGTGCACTTGATATCCGGCGCGACTCGCGCTTCCC